TGCAGAAGTCTTTAGCGTACTTTATATTTTATACATTTTATACCCCCATGATCTTTGTTAACTTCAAGGGTTCATTTGCTATTTGCCACCACCAAATTTAGGATTTCCCACCTTCTCTTGTTCATACTTTGCTGATTTTATATTTCATTTCAGGTCTGTAAACTGCCCTACCATTTTTAATGAAAAGCAGTATATAAATTCTAATTCTAATCATAAGAATGAATGCAAGAAATATATATTTATGCAGCAATATACCCTTATGCAGCAGCTGAGGGAGCATTGGGTTTGGGAGAGAAAGGAAGAATTAAACTCTTCTCTCCCCAAAACTGGGCAAACTTCCCCCAGAAAGCTATTTACATGACAATAAAAATGTGCATTGCCTTCATTCTTATAATTGGCCTCATGGCCATGTTGGCTCAAAACTGGTGGGTTTTTTTTTTTTTTTTGTATACTGTGTGACTCATATCCTCTGCCAGTGACTAAGAAGGAAAAGAAATGTAAATGGACATAAGCAAATTTTGTTAATGCTCAAGGGTTATACAGATAGGGAAACATAGTTTCTTTGGAAGACGCTTGCTTTCTTTCTTTTAAACAAAGACCACACCCCAACAGCTATTTAACATCTATTCTGTACCTGTAGAATTGCAGATGGTGTTTTGTTTCAGTCATGCAAGTTATCTATCTGTCCACCATCAAATTATCTATTATCTATTATCCATATCTATCTCTCAATTATCTATCATCTATCTATCCATCCATCCATCCACCCACCTACCCACCCACCTACCTGTCCGTCTGTCCAAATATATATCTGATCAGGGCAATAAAGGATGAGAAAGGGACAGTGAGAGAAGTGTGGGGGGGACATTGGACCTTTTAAAGCTACCCAGAATCTTGCAAAGAAGTCTAACAAATGTATGATCTCCCATGCTTAGATGGATCCACAAAAACTTAGATGATAAATGTGTGAGTATTTAAAGTGTGATTTAAAGGATAAGCTCCTTTGTTGGAGGACAGGTAAGAGAACAGAGAGAACCAGAGAACCTCATGGAACTTGAAGGAACCGATAGATGCATGACTGTGATTCAGAAGAACAAGGAAATTAGTGACCTTTAAATGGTGTTCTTGCCTAAGTTTCCCGGACTGACAAAAGCTTCAGTTGTAACAGATGAGTTGGCCTTGAAGGTGCCACTGTTTTGTTTTTGTGTGAAAAAAACTAAGACAGCTGCCCCATGGGAAACTGACATTTGAGAATGTTGCAACCATTAATGAGAGTAATAAATAGGGTGACAGGAAGATGTTACCCTTGGCCCCTTCTTACTTTCGTTCCTGGTAACCATCATAGGTTGAGTCATTCAGATAAATAATTGGATTGCCAGGGGCCGCCATGATTTCTCCTTCAGGCATGCTGTAGGACTCCAGCCCATCTAGGAAAGGAGATGGCTGAGTGTCAGAAGAAGGACACAACCTTTCCACCTACATGTTTTACCAGAGCTCCTATCTCCATTTCTCCCATCCTGTTCCCAGCACATCCCAAAAGCTCATCAGACTCATTGGCAAGTCTAAGGAAGTTGACAGTTTTTCAGTCTACACCTGAACTGAAGAGTCAACAGCTGTAGAGCAGCAGATTTATGGAATCCACGGAGGTCTGCTAAGTTCTGCTGAGAAGGTGGCACCATACCATCCATTGGCCAACAGCATAATGGAGAATCAGATAGCCATTCCCTCTTCTAGTACATGCAACATCTTTTGGAATGGTGGAAGACCATCTTTTTTGGCAATTGATACATTTGGAATCTTGGGAGGGTGTCGTGGGCACACTCACAAAATGGTTACCATACAGGAGTGATCTAGGTAGCTCCTGATGGAAAGGATCAGTCACAAGTCTATTGGGGGAAGGCCCGGAAGCATTCTTGAAAACTGAGATGCTATTAGATCATAATTTTTCTAAACTACAAGAATGTTTAAAACCTAACAGGTGGACTGTGAGCTAGGTAGATATAAAGGAAGATGAACGTTGGCACACTGGTCCCCGTAGGCATCCCCCTGCCATGGAAGGCCTCCAGAGTCAACGTGTTAGTCCTTACCAGACCAAAGACAACCGTAGAGTTCTACTCTCATGCAAACGGTCGTGGGCTGCTCAGTCACCGGGATCACTCGGATGTAGCGAGCAATGATGGGCGGGCGAAGATCTTTCAGAACCACCTCATACGTGTCTGTGTTGCCTTGAATCACCTGAAAGGGATTTGGCCATCTTAGAGGCACCGAACCTGGAGAATTGTGAATCTTGAGAAGGGGATGTATGGGTAGTTTTGGGTCTACCTGGTTGGGACAGCCTTGGTGAACCACAAACCTAGCTGGAAACATCTGGGAAGGTTAGAGAAAGCTGCTGTGAAGATCTCAAGCAAGGATTTGGCTGTCAGCTGCTGTCTGAGAACTTTTTCAGTGGAGACAGCTAGGACTAAATGGGGAGGGGGGGCTAAGTGCATTTTAAGATGTAAGAGAGTCTACATTAGAGGTTGGATGACATTTTCCCTATCGCTACCATTATTTTGTCAGTTCCTAATGCCAGTAACACATCATCCTCAAATCAGCCTTCTCTTAGATTGGTTCAACCCTTGTGCTACTGATCCCCTGTGGCTGAGTGAGCACGACAAACTAAGCCATAAACCCTGGTTTACAAATCACAGCGGTTGGATTCTCGCAATATTTATTTGTTCCTTAACCCAATTTATGCGGCCACCCATCTAGCCAAAAAAATACGCTGAGACACAATGAAACAAACCACACTATAGCTTAGGGCAGTTGTAGGAAGAACTTTACTAATTCCTTCCCACAAATATATTAAGTTACTCTGGCTTCTATTTTCCAGTCTCTTTATACAGCATACGTTCATAACAGCTACTATATTTGCACCAAGACCTTTACAAACAGATGCAGAGAATAACATAAAGGCAACGCAGCAAAGGATTTGTGGGCAAGAGTAAGCAGAGTTTGGAACTCATCTGGATGAGTAACCAATAAGATTTATTCCAACCCCCCCCCTTTTTTTTAATGAGGTCTAATAGCATTTGAAGATGTATCTGCAGGATTCAATTTCTCTTTCTCTTCGCAACCACTCCAACCATGTCTCACCCACCTGCCTGTTCTGACGATCTTTCCAAGAGAGCCACCGCTCGCCGTTACGACTGTAGTTGATCCGATAGGCCCGGGCAAACTCCTTCCCGGTGGCCCGGGCATGCCGTCCTTGTGTCCCCACCAGCGTGATGAAGTACAGTTTGTGGAGATCTATCTGAAGGAACTGCACATCTTCTGGTTGCAAGAGACCCGCTGGACACCAAGCTCCATCTCCTTCTTCTCTGAGCAATCTGAACATGCATGTGACAGACAGAGATGGAAGTGGGGAGTAGAACCCATAACTCAAAGACCAGATAAGCAAATTTTCAAAGATAACTTAAATGAGGAACTTTGTGGAGCAAGAACTGAGCTTCACTGCTGCCTCTACATACTATAAACCTGGATACTAAAAAGACTATTTTCTGGACTCACACAATGCATTGGCAAGGTTCATCCAACCCACTAACCCAGAAAAAAAACAAGCCAATATGAATATTAACCTGGCTCAGTGTGGGTTGCGATGTCTTTAACGGTCAGCTCTTCAAGTTAGACCAGACTAGGAAACCAATGTCATGTAGGTCAATGCTACTTTGTTCTAAAGCTACAATAACAGAATCTTGCAAATTTGAATGAGCTTCCCTCCTCCTTCCCTTTATCTTCCTGAGACTTGGGAGGGACCTGAGACATTTTCTCACATTGCATTCTTGCTTTGGACTCTGACCTCTTTTATCTGACCATTGCCTTGGTAGCGGCTCTTCCACCTGTCCCTCAAGGCCATTCCCTCTTCCCTCTACCTTAATTAACTTGATTAAGTGTGTGCATGAATGCATTGCCCAAAGGGGGAAGGCAAATCCCCCTTCTCACATGGGCATACCCAAAGTGTTGTACCAAAGCCAACTTTGGGGAGAAGGAGAAATGCCACGCACCGGGCATACTGTGGTCCAGTTGAATCATACCACTGGCTGGAAGCAGTAATGTCCTCATCTTGGATCGTTCCTTCATACATTCCCAAAGGATACCGGCATATTGCTGAAAAAAGGGGAGAGGTGGGAAGGGTACAAGGTTTGCGGTGATAAAAAGGTGAAGACCAATTCGTCAAAGCTTTTTAAGACTGATTAAAAAATGCTAAATTCCCTACCTTTAAGCTCAGTGCTTATTTTCTCAGCTTGCATGATATGGTGGAGGATGTTAAAGTGGGAGCTAATATTATTCAAATGTGTTATTCCCCCCAATACTTACTAAACATGCATTTTACAAATATGAATGTTCTTAAGGACTACGATGTTGTGGAAACATATTGTCTTACAGTATCAAGCTAACAACCTAGTCCAATATTCTATCAAACGTCTTGTTAATCCCATCAAATCAGCATGATGACTGCCCCGCTCACAGAACAGATGACACAAGCTCTAATATGTCCTTTTAATGCCATTTCAGGCAGTTCCAGCTTTTGGGTTCTGGCCAAGTACAATCTATCAATATGTGATCCTATCCGGGTAACAAGCAGGAGGCTATTTGGGGAAAACACACACACTATATAAAAGCAGAAGATAAATCTAGAAGCTTTCTCCTGATGTTTAGAAACTGACCAGATGAAGTTTGTAAGAGGTGGTGAAATTGACTCACGTGGATTCCCTACAATAATATCCTCTCTTGTGAAATTAACAAGAAAGAGCGAAACAGTCCAGAGACAGCTTAGAATAAGGAGCAATTTTCTAACTTGGCTTTTAAGGGACAACCAAGAATTGCTGCTGTCGCTATTTTTCCATATTTACATCAACTGATCAGGAAGGAAGGAAAAATATTTTTTATGTATTCAGATCTGGAGACAGGAAATTGGATTCAACAAACACGCATGACAACCATTGGCTGGGTATTAATCCACAAATTCTGATCTACATCTAGATTTACAGGATGAGGGCCTTCTGCTTGCATCACCAACACTGCAGAAATGGCATTTTGGAAAATGCAGAACTGCCCATAAAATGTATGCCCACTTTTGTGCAGACTTAAAAACATTGGTGGGCTGAGTAGAAATGGTTTGGGAGATACTTAGAGCTGGGGAAACGGGGCATTCCTGTTGAGTTAGAAGGTTCATACCAGGATTGACTTCAGACCCTGGACATGGTGAGAATCCAGCCAACAGCAGAAGGGGTAAGCAGAACATCCTTAGCGAAGGTCACCTGGGAATCCGTTGGGTGGCTTTGGGGGTTATCAATCACTGCCATTCATGTTTCTGAAAGAAGAGAGAAGAGACTTGATTTGAACTAGATTGTCAGGTTCTGCATCAGCCTGGGCACACTGAACCTTGTGACTCTCTAAGATTCAGAAACCCAAGAAGAGGGACTTTGGGCTTAGAAAGTGCCTATGTTGCGCTAATCTTTCCATGCACCATTCAATCAACGAAAGGAATAGTGTTAGCATTTCTTAGGAGGTGAAATTATGGGCAGCCCCCCGACCTTTGTAGCTGATCAGCATTTTGATCAATCCGTGAAGGAGGAAGTTCATGGAGGTCCCATGTTCAGATTGAGAAGGTTATCCTCTCCACAAGGGCTTTGAGGATCTTCTCTCTTCATGGCAGGCTATGGTTCTTCTAACTAAGAAATTGACTGCAGGTGTCCTTGGGTTGCCCCTCACAAGGTTGGAGAAAAAAAATTATTGGCTCAAGAAGGGAAAAGAAATTTTAAACATTCTCTTCGGTCATCCCAACTGCTTCCAAGAGAGGTAGTTTCTAGGGTTGGGAAACGGTGTGCTGGAAGTGAATTGGGGTAGAGTTAAAGATCTCATGGACCCCAAACCCATCCTTACCCTCCTCTGAGCCCTGACACAGAGGCTGGGTTGAAGGTCCAAATCACCAGATCAGTCTGAGCTGTAAGGGCTGGTCTGTGAATGGCCTAAAATAATTCCATGCTAAGAATTAGCTTCACAATTCTTTGGGGCAGCTAGAGAGAAGTTATAAGGTCAGTCCCTAAAATACCCTTCCCAAAAGGAGCTCCAGATACTTTGGACTCCAAGTCCCATAGTTCCTTTCTAGCAGGGTCATAAGATTGGGGATAGCCATCATGTCTGGAGAATCCAACTTTGAGGAAATCTTCCTGAACTACGGTTAAAAGGCTTTTGTTTTGTTAAATGGCATGGAGACTTCTACTGAAATGGTTGCATCAGCTGTTGTGGGATTCCTTTCTTGGCAGTGCTGGGTTTCCAGGGGTATACTGCTTCCGATCATGGAGGATCCATGTTCTGACTGAGAAGGTTATTCTCTCTACAACTCTCCCATCCATCCATCCATCCATCCATCCATCCATCCATCCATCCATCCATCCATCGCAGAGTTATTCTACTTTCTTGTACATGGAAAGAATGACACTTTTCAAAACCTATTACCTTTTCCCACAGTTATGCTTGGTTCTTTTGATAAACGGCCCCACGCATTATTGGATCAGAGAGAGATGAACCCTAACCCTAACCCTAACCCTCACCCAGGCCCACACAGCAATCACAGCTTGCTGAACAAACACTGGCTAGAGCTTCGAATCCCTTTCAATGCTCATGCTTCAGCTCACGGCAACAACAAATATTATCCCGGGGGGATTTAAGTTTCTGCGTCCTTCCTCTCGCCTTTCCCCAACGCTTCTTAACACAATGGAATTCCTTTGCCTGGCTGTCTTCTGGGCGTGCAAACCTAGCCCCAAACTTCCGTCCGAGCTGAGTTTGCAAGGTGAAAGCAAAGAGTTCAGCTTCCTGCCTAGCGCCCTGATAGCCTAGCACAAAAGCGTTAAAATTCTCCTTGCCGGGGGCCCAGGGCGGATCCTATCACTAATTGCTAACAGCTGGTAGAACCGTATATTTAAAAACCGTATTACAGCAGAACCGCGGTGATAGCAGAAGGCAGGCCAGGACAGCGTTGCCAAGGCCAAAAGGCTGCTCCGAACTGGGGAATCACAAACACCCCTTGCAATGTGGAAAGAATGCCCACCTGCTCTTCTCATCAACTCCTGTCCCTCTACTTTTCTGGTCCCCCTCTCGGGCACAGGTAGCCGCGCTCTGATGGCCATCGCGTGCCACGCTCCCTCGCCTTCTTGCTCATGCTTTGCACACGCGTCAGCCTTGCACACATCTCCTCCCCCAGCTCAAGTCCTCCTTGGAGGACTATCTCTGGAAGGAAGCAAACAACGAGAATCCCACCATCTGTCTGCCTTCTGCTTCCATCTTCAGACCCTTGTTGGCTAACGAGATCCATGCACGTCCCCAACTTTGAGTCCCTCGTACGAATGGTTCGTTGGCATGCGTGCCGCCCCGTGCCCCCATTTCTCTGGATTTTTCTCCACTTAGAAGACGCCGCGTGTTTCTCTTCGAAAATATCAGCTTCTCAAAAGGAGAAGAAGCTGCAGGCCCTCCTCTACTGATGGGACCCCGCAAGTTGTCGAAGCAGCAAGACTCTCCATCAACTCCCATAATGCCCCACAAGGATGCCTCTCCAGAGGTATTATGGGAGAATTACAGGGCAGCAAAATTCAGCTGCTGGCTGCATGGGGCGTTTGAGGAGAGGGTGGAAAAATAAAGTAGGACAGGGCTAAAACAGCACCTCTCCTAGCATCTCACCGAAGAAAACTAGGACATGCTTTCAGGAAACAGTCCAAATTCTTGCTCCGTTGCCATTCTATGTGGCACTGATGGAAAATCTCTGATCCACAAGCCGGATTTGGCCTGCAAGGCTTCGATATCCGGCCTGCAGAAATCTGAGCGGAGGCACTTTCCGGACCCCACCCCCCTCCCCAAATATCCTGTCTTTCACAGATAGTTCTAGGCAGGGATATTTTTCCTCCTCCATTCCCAAATTGCTGCTTTTCCCTGAAAAAAAAAAAGGGCAGTGTAATCCATGACTTCATGCTGCTCCCAAGATATTTCTAGCCCCTTGGCCGATAAAGGGTCCCCACCCTCCTGTTGGCTGTAATGATTTGCTGGAAGGGCTATCTGCTGTTGATTTTTAAAAAAAAAAAAATAACAGGAGGAAGATTAACTCAGAGGATATACCTGAGAGGCATTAACTGTCCTTTCCTTGGGCTATTATTCAGATTAACTGATGTCACTAGTTTTTGTATGCTTCTCTTTTTTGTTTATAGCAATCGGATTGGTTTTGCGACTTACTAAATTTGTTGAATCCAGCTAGTGGCTGTTTTATATTCTATACTTTTCATTACACTAGTTACCTTAGCTTAGCTTTTTAAAAACCCACTGTTATATTTTTGTATTTATGCAGTGTTCATAATCATATTTTAAAGCTAAGGTGGTCCTTACTGGATGGGTTGTAAACTCTGTTTTGTTTTAATTCCTTCCTTCCTTCCTTCCTTCCTTCCTTCCTTCCTTCCTTCCTTCCTTCTCCCATTCATCTGTCTGTCTCTATTCATCTATCCAACAGCAGCCACAGTGTATAAATCCATATGTGTTAAAATGCATTGGTTGCCCACCCTTATAGAACATATCAAGAGACTTGAATTAATCCTAGTGACAAACCTAAGAACTCCTGTTACTTACTCCCCTCCAACCAAGTTTCCTTAAAAGCAGAATGAAATTTATTGAAATAATTTACCAGGAACAGGAGCCCAAACAATTGCAAATATTGTTGGTAGAAAGAGACATTTGGCTTATTTCTAAAACACATTGTTGAGTCCCACCCAATATCATGCAATCATAACTCTTCCTTTTGTTCCCAGTTCTTTCACGTACATGTACACACACACTGGTTTGTAATTGCCCAGATTATGCATGTTGTCTGAATTTAACCACTTCCTAATCAAGATTTTCACACAAAGCCAAGAACACAGGTGCATACTTTTGTGAATTCTCACATCTGTACACTTATATTACCATGTGGACATCCACCCTAACATTACTCCTGAAAGAGAATCTAGCTCCACTGAGCTGATTTAGGATCCAAAGTTTTCCAGAACGCTAATCCCACCCCAAATCTGAAATGATTTGCTTTCTCAAACAGTGCAGAGTTCTGAACCTTGGTGTGATATGGTTGTTGGAATGCCTCATTAAGGAAGGTTACATATATTCACTTGAAAGAGAACATGCCCCCCCCACCCCAATATGAACCTTACATGGGACTTCTAAATTTTCTGCTCCAAATATTGATGCCAAGAAAACTACACAGATCAGTCACCAGGAGTTGAAGAACCTTCCTTCGTTCCTTCCTTCCTTCCTTCCTTCCTTCCTTCCCCTTCCTTCCTTCCTTCCTTCCTTCCTTCCTTCCTTCCTTCCTTCCTTCCTTCCTTCCTTCCTTCCTCTTCCCAAAGTCAATCCTCCTTCCTCCCTTCCTCCCTTCCTCCCTTTGAATATTTAAACCTTAAGTCAGACTTGCAGTAGTGAGACCATGGCACCTGTCCTTAAAAGGGACATGGAGAAGCTTGAGAGGGGACAGGACATTAAAGGGTTTGGAAAATAAGTCCTGCCAGAAAGGTCCAAAAAGCTGGGTTTGCCTTGTAAAAGGGAAGCGCGAAGGAATCTGCAGTGCTGCCATTGGCCCTGTTTCTAATGAAACTGAGGATGAGGACCAACAGACTGAAATGAAAAGAAAGAAGACACTTTAGGAGTTGAGCTTTAGGAGGAAGGTCCTGATGGTAAGAGCTGTTAAGGTTTGCCTTGATCAGTGGTAGACTTCCCCTGACTGGAGATTTGAAAACAGGGATGGTTGAGTGGATTCCTGATGGATTTAGATGATCTCGAATAAGCTTTCCAGTTCTTACAATGTGTGGTTCTTTGGGGTGCAGTCTGAAGCAATCTCTAAGGGAAAAATCCAGCCTTTGATCCAGTGTGAAAGCTGAGGTGATCTTCACGCAACCCACTTAACGCGGTTTCTGAATTCCCCATTTTCTGGCTTTGCACAAGGTGCTAAACTGTAAACAAGCCTACTGCCTTGACCAAGTCATGAAAACAGACCCCAAAACAGACCAACGATAACAATCACATTATGATGTTGGGTGAAGAAGGACTGGTTTGTTCACAGATCTGGCTAAACTTGTTGTATGAACACAGGAGAAGCTGTTGCACTTATTAAAAAGAAAGACGGAGAGAAGGTGGAAAAATTGGGGTAGAAATTGACCAGTCACAAATTTGGAGTCATCCCCATAACTCAGGAGCAGGAATGAAAGCATCACATTCCATCTCTTGATGAAAACGTTTCTATTCTCTTAATTGGAGCAGATGTATGGCCTCTCAGGGTTTTCTTATTCCCCGCCAAGGCCCCCTCCCAAGCTGACATTAGAGATCCATTTCGCTCTGTGTGTGTCTTTCTCTGTGTTGTGTGGACAGTTAGTTTACTGCCAAATAGAAACGTTTGCACTGTCCTTTTAACCCCAGGAGGCAGATGAGAAGAGAAGAGAAAACCAGGTGAGTTCTCCATCAATAGAGCCTTTCCCACTTGGCCCAGAAGGAAGTCCCAGCAGGAAGAACTCAAGCGGAAGTTTTATTATGTTCTTCTGAGCAAGAGACTCAACCCCCATCACCATGTTTATGACCACACTCCCATAAGATTGAATCAGCCCTAGTCTCTTGTGCTGGATTGACAGGATGGGCTCAGCTTGGGGAGAATTCGCCCGAGTCACCAAATCCTAATTGCCAAATCACTGCATTGATCAACATTAATGCTAACCAAGCTTAGCATCTTCTCTGAGAGACGTCAGCTGGGAGATCATCACACAATCAGGTGAAATGTGTTGTGTGAATGCCACTGTCTAGTTCTGGATTCTCTTCCTAAGCAGCTGGACCCTTCTAGGAAAGATGGGGAGAAGAACTGGAGATACATCCTTTTCTAAAGCTTCTAAAATTTAGGGAGATGTGTTTTCCCCTTCCGTGCCTCAAATTGTGAAAGCTTGGCACCCCGTGACCTTGGCTGGCCCCTACTGCATTCTGCATCAAGAAAGCAAGGAGGGGTGCGATGATGATGGTGATTTGATTTTGGGCCCACGAACCACACATTAATTCCCCAATACTGGTGAGCCTTCATTGAACAGCCCCATGTTGTCGCAAAACCTTTGCACATCTTAGCCAAACATTATACAGCCTCTGCCTCTCCTGACCCATGGACACCAAAGTGTGAGATTATGATCCCCATTAGCTAGAAGGCAACATGGGAGCTGTAGTCCAACCCATGTGGGGGTCATGTAATTGGGGAAAGTTGATGCATTTCTTTCTCTTCCTTGTGAGTTTTCACCATTTTGCAATTTGGATTCGTGGGGTATCACGCCCCGCTCTCATTCTCTCATATTTGGGTGAATTGTCCTGCGTCTCTGCCCACTGCTGAAGGGCACTGTTTTGTCCTTCAAACTTAAAAAAAACACCCCAAATACTTTGTTCCTTCTCCAGTATAGAATTGGACCAACAAAAAGTAGTCATTCTTCCTTCCTGGAAGCCAGAAACAAGGGAGAGGCATCTTTATACCCTTCCGGCCACCCATGGGCCATGCCCTCTGCTTCCCCCTCCGATGCCTCCATGGCACAGATGTCAAAAGCACCAGGGGGAGGGAGGAGGTGGTGAGGCCTCGTGGTCCCGGAAGAGTGGCGCATTGCCGAACTCGACAAAGCCAAGGAAAAAGTCTGCCAGGGAGTCAGAGAGTGGAGAAAGAAAGAAAGAAAGAAAGAAAGAGAGAGAGAGAGAGAGAGAGAGAGAGAGAGAGAGAGAGAGAAAGAAAGAAAGAAAGCAAGCAAGCAAGCAAGCAAGCAAGCAAGCAAGCTCGGAGGAGCGTTCAACGCCCGCGCAAGAGGCCTTACCTCCCTGGCTGGCTTAGCTGTTGTGCCACCCCCGCCATGGTGGGGTGAGCCCAGGCGTTTTACCGCCACGGATCCAGCAGGGCTCTACTTCCCACCATCCTTTCTCTTGGCGAGCAACTTTGAAACTTGTTACCGAGCAAGACAGCTCCTCCTGGTTGCTCCGTCCCTCCACACGGGCCCTGGAGACTCGTCTGCTTCTATGTCACTACAGTATCTATGGCAACTCCCTGACGGAGGCTGTGGAAAAGAGCAGATGTGTGCGTGTGTGTGTGTGTGTGTGCGCGCAAAGCCAAAGGCTGCCTTCTCCTCTGCTTTCTCCCCTCCTCCTTCCTCTTCCACCCCCTCCTGCTTCTCCCACTGTTGTTCTGGCCAGACTGGAGGCTGGCCAAGCGTTGCATGCAAAGAAGGAAAACCACAATGCTAAGAAAACAAGGGGACCAAGGCGGCGGTGGGGCAGGGGGCGGGGAGATGCACTTCACTTCCCCCCCCACCCTTCTCCCCTTCCATGTTGCTGACCCTACAGAAACGGAAAGCCGCACCACAGGCGCCAATGGGCCGGCGAGTTTGCGGCTCCCACAAGGCGAGGAGATCGAACCTTTGCCCTTCTGTTAGAAGCTGTGGGTCACCCAAGAGCAGTTCCTAGAAGTGCGGGGCTCAGATATATGGGGGCGACCACCATTGTCGGATGGGGGGGACCCATCAAATGTCTGTTTTGCAAACATTCTTTGGGGAGAACCCTTTCTTGAAAAATCCTCCTCCTCTTTCTTTGTTTTTGCTCTTGGGAATACCTTTTTAGGTTTTTTGGGGGGCGGGGGGTTAGCATGAGTGCCATTGTTCCCATCCTTTAAGTTTCAGCTCTTTCTCTAGGATAGAAGTTGAACTTTGAAACTCCGTGACTTCAGCAGGATGTATCCCCAGCTAAACGTGCTCAGGATTACACCCTAAAGATCTGGCGGAGTTAGCACAACCCACTGAACTGAATGATTGAATTCAAGGCGTTGGGTTCAGAAAACTCAACAAAGCCCCACCACCACTCCACAGCCCCATCTAAGGTTATTTATAGCACTTAAAATATAAGCATGCATGCTATTTTATTTTCAAAAGCCATTTCCCAAATGGCTGAAATAATGATGTGAACAAATATGTTAGTTGGTTTCGTTGATTGCCTGTGAGAACCTGTGAATCGGTTCTGAAGCATCTGCTCGGTGTGTTCCTTCTGTATTTCCCACAATGTTTCACAGGCAGAAATAAGAGGAAATTGATAATAACATGTCAAGACCTACTGCTTAATTCCTCGGTTACCAAATTATCCAGTCCCAAACTCTCTTGATTTGTTCCTTTCAGACTACAACTCCCATCTTCTTCACTCAATGCCACTAAGGAGGTGGGGTGACATCACCCGCTGCACCTGGAGGACCCCAATACTCATCTAATCCTCAGCAGTAGTTCACTGAGAAGAAGAAATGCAAAATAATTCCTCCATGAAATCTTCAGGGTATGACTTTGAGTGGGTCAACAACAGGACAAAGATGAGTGGGAACAAAGAATCTGATAAAATTTTGCTTTCCCTTAGCAAAACTCTTACTTATTTCTTAAAAGACACAAGCTGGATGGGATTATAGGTTTTTCCTTCCTTTTAACAGGAAAAATAAAGAAGGGCCATGTGCTTACAATGATTTGAGGTTCTCAATATTTGTAGCATTTCCCATGGCCACCATCAGGAACCTTACATGGCTCTGGTCAAGACCCATACTTCTTTCAGAGGCTGTTACCAGATGTTTGCTGGCTACCAGCTTGGCTAGCTTCAAAAAAAGGGTTGGACCAAATCATGGAACTCATGCAGGTTAATGGCTATTAGACGTGATGGCAGTGGGACTCCTCTGAAGGCCATCAGCTGGGGAACTAGTGCAGTTGGTTGGCCTTTGTGAGAACAGACTGCTGGACTAGATGGGCTAGGGGTCTGATTCATCAGGGGTCTGCTTATGTTCTCTGTGAACTTTGAAAGATTAGCAGCCTCTGTTGGTTGTGAGTGATAGATACCATAGCCCAGTACCCCTGGAAGGTCCTGGAGAAGGTGAAGGGTGCCAAGTTCTTTCATGCTGTTACTACCTATTTACCACTTACATCCAGTCTTGTCCAGATATGCTCACCCTCTGTGCAATTGGATGGATTGAGCCCAGAAGGCCCACTGACTCATGCCTGAATACTCAAAATCATGCCTGAGAGGAGAAGGTGGCCCTGAGGGCATTTTCTCTCAAGGCACCTCCAAACAATTGAAGCCAACATCCATTGCTCTGCTTCAGGACCCCAAACAGCCCTTCAAACCAAGCTGTAACCCTAACATTTTAATATTCACACACTTTGCACATGCATTCCTGGGTGTAACAGAACGGGCACCTTCCATCTCCCATGATTCAGAGTTTCACTGGCTTCTCACATCACATTGCTCCAAAATATGGCTTAGGGTGTTTTGTGAACTCAACCACCTGCAGTTTATTCAGTAAGCTGTGGGCTCCTGATGTAATTCCTTAGAGCCTGGAACATTTTCTGACATTCAGAGTTTGTGGCACGATAGTTTTTAGAGACCTAATTAGGACGTGATGCAGCCTGAACATTTCACTTTGGGAATGTGAATCCAGGACGTATCTCCCCCAAAGCCTTGGAGATGACAATCTGATTGCATCAATTGACCTTCTCTTAGGCCTTCTCTGTTTTTTTCTAATTTACAATCTGGCTAGCAGTGAAGTTGAAGGAGCCAGTTCTCCTAAAAAGCTTCTATAAACAAGGCAAGGAGGTCAAAAGCAGAGATCCTTAGCTAAGGGTCTAAATCTTCTCCATTAACAAAGAATATCCTGGGTGGGGCAATAGGAGTGAAGGATTTTGCTGACGCTGGCTCTTATGGTGACACTTAAAGTAGTCCATGACCTTAGAAATCATAGGCAAGCTAAGAAAAAACCCTGAAACAAACATCTCAATAGAGCTGAATAGGGCAAACCCACAGATGTTCTCTTCCATGCAAATCTTCCACCTCCATGTGCTTGTAAGTGTGAGACAGACTGTCTATGAGTTATGGAGCTTGCAGAATTTGTTTTGCACATATTAGGGGGGACAATCTTATCTGCAGGCCTCCAGTTAGGATTATTATGTGGTGAAGTGGGTGGCAGAAATAGCTCTTACTAAAGAGCTATTTAGAGGAAACACCTGGGAACGAAGGGTGTGTGTGCAAAGATCTCGCCTGCTGGAACAGACAACCTCTCTTCTCTGCGAATTTATGAGAGGTTGAATAATGTGCCAGGGTGTTATGGGGTACAGTCATGCTCTTTTTAGCATTACACCAATGAAAATAGAACTTGCTTGTAAGAACTTGTCCCAAATGGATTGCCCATGCTACACTTTCAGAGGGTTATTACTTGCTACCATCTTTTCCACCTGATCAATGTCTACCCCCAGTTGATACGTTAGCCAAGAAATAATGATTCTATAGGGCCGAGATACAGGTTGCGTTCACACAACAGTGAGGTTGTATCAACCTTGCATTGGGTTACTGGTTTTGTTTTATTTATTTATTTTTATTTATTTATTTATTAAATTTCTCCCCCGCCCATCTCCCCCCAGTGGGGGACTCTGGGCGGTTCACACAAAACATTGCTTCCTTTCAAGGCATCGTCTTTGGTGCCAGTCCAGGCTGTTGAGTTGCTAATTTAGTAACCAGCATCAAATGGCAGCCAAAATGAAATGGATTGAAAATGGGCTGTGCTGATCAGGAGGTCACCAACCTACAGCCTTTGGATTAATCCAGCCCACCCCTCAATCTTGGCCACTCTTAGACTTCCTTTGAAATAATCCTTG